TTTCATTTCAAGCTCAGATTTTATAATGTCCCTAATTCTGCAAACTTGATGAGATGTTAAATGGTTTTTTTCTAAATCCGAATTGCTCATCAGGCAGAAAATTTGTTCGAATTACACTTCGCTCAAGACGTTGCTTAATGATTTTTTCAAAATTTTTTCCTACAGTATTCAAAAGACTAATTGGGCGATATCCTTCTACTTGGGTTTGATTCTTACCTTTCTTTGGGACACAGATTACTATGGCATCTTTCCATATTTTAGGGAAACATCCTAATTCCAGACAGCTTTTGAAAATTTTGGTCAAAAATTTATAGCTTGTCCTTGGCAAGTTCTTCAATACAATGTTTGGTATACCTTTGTTGCTCTTTTGATCTTCAATTTTGTAACTATATCTATAATTTCATTTATAGAAATCAAAGAATAGTCCGTAATTGCCAGTAATCGTAATCCGTCAACTGAATGTTGGACTGCATCAATTGTTAGAACATCGCTATAATTATCAGTCGGAGAACTTTGACTTGCAAAGAAATTGCTAATGCATTAACCTTTTCTAAATCGGTAGTTAAGGTAGAATTGTTATAGGAAATTGCTGGCGTTCTAGTCTTTCTTTTTTGAGTATTTTACACAAACTGTAAAAACGTTTCGAAGCTCTGTCCAGTGAGGACAAATACTGATTCCGCGCCCGATTTCTGGATTCTTTAATTTCTTAACTATACGATCATAAAATTTGTATAGCATTTTATGACTGTAGCACCTTGTTCTTTGCCAGCGCCGTCTTTCTGCATTTCTTAGGGATATTATGAACTTAGTACGCTCTGACAGCCTCATCAAATAATTATGATCCGATGTAGTTTGCCGAGGAACAACTTTATCAATAGTGTCCCTCAAACATTCATGAAATTTAACAACTGAATCTTCAATTTGTTCTTTGGTAGTTTGTTCTGTCGCAAAATTTGTACCAGATATAGCCCGATTAAAAACCTTTCCAAATTGTTTCTAATTGGTCTTTCAAATAAAAATGTTTTTGGCTTTTCAATAATTTGTGCTACTCGATTAGTGGTAAACAATACAGGCAAATGGTCTGAATTTAGTTCGTTGACGGTACAAGAAACTGTAATATAATTAGGGATGTTACAAAGAACAAAATCCAGAGTTAATGATTTCTGTCTTGCAGACGTGGGCACATAAGTCGGATAAAATCAATATACATTGTGTCCATATCTACCCTAACAGAAATTGTTTCAAATATTTTTGTTCTAACCTGTGGCAAAATTTCATGTTTAATATATTTTCTTATCACTATGGCAACCCCTCCCGCTCTCCCAAAAGTCCTATTACAACAATACATATCATAAACACAATCAACGACAATTGATTCCCTCAACCAAGTCTCCGTTATAATTACAACATCAACATCATATTTTCTTAAGAAATTTAAAAATTCAACTTTTTTGTTGACAATACTTCTAGCATTCCAACAAACTATTTTTAAGTTCTGAATATTATTTAACATTACTGAATAAATATTTCAAGGTTAGTTCTGTTAATACATTAAACTGCTCTATTTTATTCTGACAATCTCTTAGTCTAGTTAAAAGTTCTTGAGAGAGAGTCAATAACTCTGAGTAAGTAAAGAGATCATTATTTGTACTATTATTAGTAAGATTAGTATTATTATTATAACTAGAGTTGTTGAGAAAATTAACATTGTTATTATTACATAAATTATTTGAATTAGGAAAATTATTATAATTATTGTTTGCAATACTTGCGTATGATACTGAATTAACAGTTCTGTTACTCTTGTTGGTGAAGTTTGATTGACGATTATTTGTTCTCAAAGTTGATGAGAGAATTGGAAAGTGATGTGTGTCGCTAATGTTAATATTATTGTTGAAATTTAATTGATGAGAACGATTTTTGTTTCGCTTTTTATTATTTCTTTCTCGAATAGATTGCATTATATTTTCATACTTAATTTCTCTGGACATTGGAGAAAATAACTTTTATGTTGACCTTTGCAATTTGCACATTTCAGTTTTTGTTCGTCGGTTGGTTTGCTCATTTCAGGACTTTCGGAAGTTTATGTTTACAAGCGCATATTCCGCAGACAGTACTTAGATGACAGTAATTAGCACCATGACCAAGTGTTTGACAGTTAAAGCACAGGACGTGGCCTTTGTGTTTTTTACTAAAATATTCCCATTTTACAATTCTGTGAAATATAGCTCTGATTTTTGTACGAATTTCAATGTAATGCTGTTTCTTTTTATGTAAATGAAAAAATTTTGTTGGCAATAATATCGCTTAGTTTTCATTTGCATTGCTTTAACATCAAAACATTCAATTTTAAGATTTCGTAGTTCGTTTAGTAAATCATCACTTTGTATTGAGTTATCCAATCCGTTTTTTTAAAGTAATACTAATTTAATTGGCCTATTTAATCGATTTTGATGTGTAAAAGATTTCCATTTATTTTTATCATCTTTTGCACTAGAGTTATTCTAGAGCACTAGTTAACAAGTGCTATATATAAAAAATCAAATTTTTCCAGTGTTTACAAGAATTTTTGTGCTTATACTGCAATTTTTTATTGTGTAGTTTTTAATACCTAATTGTTAATATTTCATCATCTGAAAGCTGACTCAATGGACCAAGTCTGTTGTTAGAATCCATTTTGGTTTGTTTAACGTGGAGACGGCTTTCACCGTCTTCCGACAGGCAATCAGCGTTTCTTTTATTTGAAATGATGTAGATGTTTTTAATATTTTAGATTAATGTTTTAAAATTTCAAAATTATATTTTCAATTCACTAAGTTTATATGTATTTAGAACAGTTATATTACAAAAAAGTAAGAAACAGTTGAAAATTATTAATTGATCAGTACTGATGTTGATAATCTCAGTACTAGATAGAGAATGACCCTGCTAGATTATTTACATTTAATTGTAATAATGAAATATTCGGTTTTATTTTTTATTTATTTGTCCATTTACTTGTATTATTACTTCCTCCATTTTTTTTTCGATTCTTAATATAATAAGAATCATAATAACGTCTATACCGCAGTATTACATTCTCCAATTCTGGCAAATTACTTGTATAAACTTTGAGTAATATCGAACCCAGAATAATGTCTTGAGGCACACCTGCTCTAACTTCTTTAAGCGCACAGTACTCCGCGTCCATTTTGATTCGAAAAATTCTTTCAGATAAACATAATTCAAATAACTCCATTTATAAAGGTATTAATCTTTTAAATTTAAATAATGTTTATTCCAAACAAATGTTTGAAAATCGAATAATGCAACCAACACCAAATTTCCACAAGTTGTTTCTTTTCTTCCAAGGACGGAAGAAAAGAAACAACTCTCCTACTATAATTGGATGAATTCGGACAACTGGTTCGAGTAGCTGCCTTACAACTCAAAGAGATTTTTTTTAAATATTTCAAAAACTAATAGAGGTTAATATCAAATTTGTGTCCACTTACAGTTTACGTATGTTCTGAAAATTTTAATGGAATAGCTGCGCTGGTTCGGGTAGCTGCCATACAACTCCAAAAGGAAATTTTAAATATGTGGGAAAATAATAAAGGTTGATTCATGAAATTGGCAGTAGTGTATCCAATTTCGGGTCAGATACATCTTTATTTTGTTGAAATGGCTTATCAGGTTAGGTTCGGGTAGCAGGTAGATCATATTTTTAAATATGAGCAAAATAATAAACTTAGTTTAATGAAATTTAAGTTGTGTGTGTAATCAAACAAAGATCCAACATATCCGTTAAGTTTCTATAGAGTGGTTTGACAGATTCGAGTAATCGGTATATAACAAATAAAACTAATTCAAAAATAATTCAAAAATAAATTTTTAAGCTCAAATTGTCAAGGTGCAAGGTGCAATTCGATCGGCTCATGCCGACAGAAAGGTTTTTACTTGTTTTAATTTTACTTTGTTATAAAGAAGATATAACAAGATTATATGTAAGAAAAGCTTATATATTTGAAAACGTATCTACAAGATTTTAAAAATATCTAGAGACGTGACTTAACAGAGTCGTAAGTTTTGTTTTCTAAATTCGATTTTTAGATATTAGAGAGATGTACCTAACTTAAAAAAACATAACTTTGGATACAAAAAGTTTATAATGGAATGTCTTACAGATTATATGGTTAAAAACTCAATAGAAAGTTAAAATCAGAATTACATTGCTTTTTATAAAAATTTAAAATATTTGTAATAATTCTCTTATACTGTATAACATTTCTTAACTATAAAAGAACTGACCTCTAATAGTATATGGAAAATCTATAAATACAAAATATTTATGCGTAAATATGAATTTTCTTTAAACTTTGGGTGTCTATCCCTGCAAAAGCCAATTTTCAAATGACAAATTGCATTGCTTAAAAAATAAGAATATTTCAAAAATGAACAAACAACTTTTAATAAAGGGCGTAAGTGATATACTAGTTTTCGAGCTACAAAAAAAAAGTTATCAAATTTCCGGCATATATATAAATTCTTATAACTTCGGAAGAATGCGACAAAGATTAACCACCGGGAGCTTATTTTACGGGCAACTGGTTTGATTTGAAATTTCTCGAAAAACTCGAAAAATTTTTCTTATTATTATTTTTTTTTTTCGATGAACTACAATGAGAACTAAAAGCCAACCCATATAACATTTTCCTCTATCGCCCGTAGCTTTCCCAGTAAAAAGTGTTAAATTAAGTAAAAAGTGTTTCCAAAACATGCGGAAAATGCATATTTCATATCTAAACCTTCATCAATTGGGACTTTTTAGATATAAAGACATTACTTCATCGTATAGGAAACTTAAGTAATAACTCTAAATGTTCAAAAATAGTACTGAATAATTACGATTTTAAACAGCATTTCTATGCCTTAAAACGAATCTAAAAAATAGATACTCGTATTCTAAATATGAAAAAAATGTATTACTTTTGTTTTAAAACTTTTTTATCAATTTGTAGACGGATTTTAGTGGACGCGTTATAAATAATGATCACTTTTTATATTGGGGAGAGGTAAAAAAAACAACAGACGAAGGCGTGGAATATAATTTTAGTGTAGTTGAGCAGACAGAATTCATTGATGATTCTACATTTCAACCGTTTAAAGTTGGTAAAATGGAACCTTACATAAAAAGATGTTGTTCTACTAAAATAGCTTCAGCTGAAAAATTAATGTACATTTGCAAAAATCAACTAGGAATAGAACATGAATACGAGCAAAAGGTACTGCCAGATGGGAGATTGAGTATTGATGGTTTTATTTGCGTTTTTGACGTTAGTCCGGTTCCAAACAGATCTGTTGAAAAACAAGTTGAATTTGTTCACAATATATTAATTAATTTATTAAAAACTAAAAAGCCTATTATATTAGTAACAACTAAAAATGACGATGCAAATGAAGCATATGTAAGGGAAGCTGAAAAAATTTGCCAACGTAAAGAGTATAAAGGTAATAAAACTTGTTCTTTATACTTAAATTTTCCCTTTTTTAGATTTCTAGTATAAATTAATTAATTTTTCGCATTTTTCGCATTTCAGGTGCTATACATCTTGTGGAGACATCTTCACATGAATCAATTAATATTGATTTAGCTTTTATATTGTTAGCGCAATTAATAGACAAAACTAAAAATCGAACGAAAATTACGACGTATCAAGAAGCGGCTTTTGCACGTAAAGAATTATTAGATCAAAGAACTGAAGCGGTGACACGTTTAATACGAACGCAAATAACTGATTATCACACACTTTGGTCACATGGTTCTAAACAATTAGCACAACATAAAGAATGGATTGATTTTTTGGACTTATTCGGACAAGAGGCTGGGCAAAGAATCTTCAGGCGGCATATGAAGAAGTTACGTGATGATCATTTAAGTAAACGCTTACAACAATTTATGAATGGATTTGCATGCGCATTGCAAGATATCATACCCGATGTCAATACCCTTAATTTAGAAATAGATGACGACTGGAATTCTGTACGAAGTTATTTTAAAGGGCATGTAGATTTTGATCAGTATTTTTTTGAATGTCAACGAGCTCCTTGGACTGATTTAAGTGATGTTAGTGATATGGAAGATGAACAGCGAATACCTTTCGATGTGTTAGATACACCGGAAGCTGAAACCGTATTTAAAAATCATGTGAATGCGTTGCAACAAGAACAAAAAAGACTAGAGTAAGTAAAAAAAAACACTTAAAAATATAGAACTTCAACATTAGCTATTTATAATAGCTAAACTAAGTTAACTTTTATTAATATAAATCAGCCAACATTACTAATTTATCCCATTTTGATCTCTATCATGCCTTTCGCTTTATCTTAAAGGATGCCAAAACGGTAAATTTTTTTGAAAAATAGTACAAAAATAAACCGAAAGTTCTTTTTCTTTTTTAACAAAAGTTTTGAAGAAATGAAAATTTGAAAAAAAAAATTAATTTCTAATTATTTTTTAGATGGAAAAAACAATTTAAAAAATTATTAGAAGAAACTGGTTATGTAACTCCGGGTAAACAATTATCTGAAGTTCGTGTGTTATTTATGGGTCGCGAATGTTTTGAAGCATTATCTGAACATGATTGCCAACAGATATATGACAATCATCAAAGGGAAATTATTGAAAAAGCCAAGCACAATTTTCTAGAACTATTATTAGAACACGCAGATTTATTCCAACATTTTAAAAATATCGAACCATCGGGAACAATAACACAAGATGATATCAAAGAAATTACAGAAGTTTTACAAGATGACATTAGGTATAAATGAATAAATGAAATAAATTCAATAAATATTTACACAACACAGTGAAATAAATGACAGGAAACATTTAGTTATTTATTACAATATTTACTCGATGATAATATTTTTTTTATAACAGAACATTCAAATATGCTCTATATTTTTATATTTATTTTTCAAGGACAATTTTTATCTCATAATTCTTAATTTTAGGTATAAAATGTTAGATCGTTTAGATCAAGATCGTAAATTGATGTTATTCCAACATTTGGGCTTTGTTCATTGTCCTATTAGAGAACATTGTCCTGCATTTCCAAATTGTATGGATGCCCTAATTGAGCGGTTAATGACTGGTAAGAAAACTCTAAGTGGTATGACTTCAAGTCAATGGAAATCATCGGTTGGTACAGAAAGTGTTTTAAATTTGCTAATAATGGGTTCGGAGCACTTAGCTAGTGATTTATTAAACGATATTCGAATCAGTTGTGGTAGTGAAGGTGAATATATTTATGATGGTCAAACATATTTTTTAAATTATCGTATTGTCAATGGTGACATGGAGTCGTTCAAGTCAATTGATTTTCAATCTAGCGGTGAGAATTCTTAGAATGTTTTTATTAAATGGTTCATTTAATATTAAATTTTAGGCCTAATATGTGTATATTCAAATCAACAATCATTTGAAACTTTAAAGGATAATTTAGAACGTAGTTTGTTATGTAACTTAGAACTAGAAGATCGTTTTGAAAATTTGCCAATAGTATTAGTTTATCAACCACACGATTTGAAAGAAAATGAAATTGATTATTTAAGATCCGAAGGGCAAAGATTGGCGGAAATGTTGCATTGTGAATTCATAGATACAATGAATTTTTATCGTCACAGATCTTCACAACATCAAAATCACGTGTATGATATTTTAAATCATTTGATAACTTGTATTCGAATGACTGAAAATAAATCGGATGATTCATATCAACCAGATCAACCTGATATTCGTCTAATATTATGTATGTTTTGTGGAGACCCATATCCAATTGATAGCGTATTAAGTCCTTTGCTAGCTGAATCTTCTTCTAACATAACACCCGATCATAGTATATTAGTAGATACATATTTGGGTGACTCAAAGAAACGTATTGAATTTATAATTACATCATATCACGGGGCTAATCAATATCGCGATGACTTAATTCATGGCTTTGTGTTGTTATACTCAACTAAAAGAAGATCCTCATTAGCTAATTTAAGGTATTGTTTTGTTTTACAATTATAAATTTTTTATAGGTATTTTTCTGCTTAAACGTATTATTAACATACACATAAAGCTTCAACTAAATGTTTTTAAAGAAAAAAATTAATAATATTAATTTTTGTTATATATTATAAGTATTTATCTTATGACATAAAATTATATGCAACAAAGTATCATTTTCCACATCAAGAAAAATCAACAATTTTCAGGAATATAATTAGTTGTACTTTTTGCCGTTACAGCGCCTTTTCAATCAACATTCCAAATATGCCGATTCAAATGGTAGCTATAACTGAAGGCGGTGGTGCAAATGTTTTTTTCGCTAATGATTTAGTTCAGATGCTTATAGCTGAAGGAAATTCTATAGCTGATCGATTTAGATCGCATTTTATGACTTCGACTGTGGGGGCTCCAATAAAATGTAAACTAAAAGATAAAATACTTGAAATTTTAACTCTAGCACTTTTTTGATAAAATTCTATCATTTATTTTTACCCTATTTTAGTTGCATTTTATGGGCCGTTTTTAAAAAAAGTTTGGGATCGGAAACCAGAAATCGAGTTATTACATTCTGAAGAACCAGTCACTTTAGATTCTGGTGAAGGCACTTTGGAGCATTCTATGGGACATCATTTGCCACAACCACCACCTCGTCATGAAAGTTATATGCTTAAAAATACGGCTGGCACTGATGGGTCTGGAAGTGAGAATTATGAACATTTGCCAACAAGATCTTTAAATTCATTAAATGGTCCGGATGATAGTATTAAACTAAATTTAAATGAAAACAACGACAAATATCGACACTTATATATGTTGGGTGAAAAAGATATCTCAATGGACGATACTTTTGACGATGACAAAGATGAAAAATCTCGTTTATTACATCAAGGTAATAAATTTTTGTAGTTAATATAAATTTTTCATCATTTGTAAAACTTTATAGCACATTATATGTAAAAACTTGGTTAAATAATATGATATTGTAATTTAAACGAAACATGTAACAAACTAAAATCATTTGGACAAAAAGTAAAATATTTTTAACGTTATATGACATAATTTAACTATTTTTTTATAAACATAAATAAAACAAAAATAATCATTATTATTCTTATTAATTTTGTACATCACCATTATCATTACTTTGAATAACAAAAAAAACTTCCCGTCAGGGCATTCAAACCATTACCAACAAATAAATATATACATGTTTTATTTATTGAATTTTTTTTTGTTAAATATATTTGTAAATGTAAAATATTATGATCCTTTGTATATGTTATGATCCTGTGTTTGTGTAAATTTTTTCGTTAAGAGCAAATTGAACACCTTTCAATGCTTTTCAGCATTTTGTGTAAAATTTTATGAAGAAAAATCTTGCCACGTACTATTCCCATATATCAGTATAATTTCTCCTTCTTTTAGAAAAGTTAATTTACACAACGATACTTTAATTGTTACAAGCCCTTTAATTTTTCTTTAGTTTTTTATTTAACTGGTAACTTCAATATTTAATTCTTGCACTAATTACCTAATGTTATTTCATTTATTTTTTTATGTATTGAGTTAAATAGAAAAAGATGCTTTCACTTATGTTATTTCTTTAATAAATAAAAATGCTTTTAAAGCCAATTTAAATCAATAATTTTCCAAACTATGTAATATCTACTTACATATGTATTTTTTTATTTCAAATTTGTGTGTGTTTAAATTATTTGTTACATTTTGGATTAACTTTGACTATTCCAAATTCATAAACATATTTAAATTAAATACTTTGTAGGGAATGAAGTAATATTGTGAAATTGAAATGCATGTATAAATTTTTATAAGTACATACTTATATTCAACTAATATAAGTTAGACTTCATAAAATTTATTTCATATTAAAATTTTACTTTAAAATGAAAGAAAACTATTATTAAAAACCTTAACTATTGGAAATACATATAATGGTATCTACTTTAATTTTGGCAGATTAAAGAATATGACTATGCATGCTTATGTTACTAGAGTAGTTGTTTAGAAAATATTCTTCCCTTTCAAAGAAAAAAAAACATATTTCGACTCTTTATTTGCAAATTGCTCCCACAAAAAATATATTTTCATACTTTTGTATGATTAATGTTTTTATTAATTTTAAAATTTTAAATATTTCATATACAGGGTGGCAAATAATTTCAGGAATGATTCTTTGATTATTTTCCAGCAAAAATTGGGGGAGGAGGGTGTAGGTATACCGAAGTTTTAGGCATTTATTTGTTTGCTGGAAGAATTTGGCACCTTTTTTTCAATAGGATATAGCTCGAGAAAGAGTATATCTGCAACCGCCCTCCTCTTCTATACAATTTTGGATGGAAATTGATCAAAGAATCTTTCCTGTAATTATTTGCCACACTGTATATGTAATATGCATATATATATATATATATATATATATATATAAATATACAATTTTATAAATATTTTGTTTATTTATATCTTTTTTTGTATGTAACGTAAGCATTTTTTAGTATTCTACTGCACTATGGTAAATACTTTGTTTAATTTTCTATAGTTTTTTAATAATGTTTTTTTTTAAGTCAAGTAGTCTGAATTTTAATTGAACTCAAGTCATTTTGAAAACGATGTAGAGGTGGAAAGGTAAAAGCACGAGCTTATTGGGGACACTTAAAATTTAAAGTTATAAAAAATTTCAAAAGAGATATGTACATATAACAAAACGCTTTATGTACGTTTTTAAAGAGTTTCCTTTCATAGAACAAAAAAATTATCACTCCAAAAGCTTTTTAAAAAATGCATTTTTTAGCATTGCCTCAGGATTTTAAAATTCTCGCATTCCCAACTTTGTGCTTAACAAACTTTTTTTTTACAATGACACAAATATGCTTTTAGATTTTTATATTATTTCTGCAAAAACTTTCTAAAACGTTTTGGAATGCTACATACATATTTAACATAATTACTAATTTTCTCCCTTTATGATAACATATTTTCAAATTATTGTGAATATTAATTTATTGCTAAGAAATATGAACTCTGAAAATAATAAATTTTTTATGTTTGTGTTTATGTATGGGTTGAATTAAAATTTTTTTAAAATCTTTTTTTTACAATAAATCCTTTATAATATTCATATTAATATTTTAATATTTCCTGTATAGGAAAAATAAGGCTTTAATTAAATAAGGCTTTTATGGAATCAAAAGGATTTAAATATTGGATGTTTCGTTTTTAGCCTAAGCATAATAAATTCACTTCTTTTATAAAAAATTTCAACTAATATAAATGTGTATATATGTACATAAGTTGGAAAATTTGTATAAAGTAGATAAAAATACATAAAATAATATGCATAAAAATAAACAAAATACAATGTAATAATATACATAAAAATAAAATAATACAAGATTTATAGTATTAATCAAAATCATATTTTCAAAAAAAAAATTTTTGATTTTGAATTAAAACATTAATTTTTCTAATAATTTACTTAAAAATTTTAACTAATATTTCAGTTTATTTCACAATAAATTGACATAATTTGTAAATTAACTTAAGCTGTTCTAGATTTTCAGTTAAGCTAATAAAATCAAAATAAGAACATTTTTATTCATTCATTTTTTTTAGATAATTTTTTTAAAACTTCTTTATGAATAGAAAATAAACTACGAATAGAAAATAAAAACCGTTTCAGTTTGATTGATACATTTATTTAAATTTAAAAGCTTGAGTTCAATTAATTAAAATTATTTTTTAACGAAAAAAGAAATTAATTTTTTACAAACCAAACACGAAATTGTTACATTCATTTGCAAATATTCAAAATTTCAGTTCCTCTTTTGTACAAAAGATTCAAAGCCAACATTGTAATGTTCAATAGTTATCTTTATAAATTTTTATTTTTTTGGAAAATATTCATCAAATCTTTGAAATTTCGAAGGTTTTTTGATTTTACCAATCGTAAGAGTAGTTTAGACGGTTACCCTTCCTTACTTCAATATTCGAGTAGATTTTTTAGTAGTGCTGTGTAGATGTGCTAGTAATCTTGTGGATCCTCTTACTTCTTTATATAATCCTAATTTAGCCGCGGCTTGTAATTAGGCTGTTTTTGTGCCGACCATAAGAATGTTATTCGTTCTTTAGTTAACATTTGCCTATTGTTAAGATATCAGCTGTTCCTAATTTTGTTGAGGGTATTTTTTAGGCCTTTTACTCATTCTTGTTGTTACCACAATTTTTAATAGGTTAAGTCTACGATTTAAAAATTAACGGGGTTCGTCTTGGATACTTTTAACATTGTTAAGAGGGGTGGTCTGGTCAATGTTATTTTAGTAAGTTTCTAACATTGATTCCTTTGATACTATTCATTCTCGCGTTTTTCTGTCAAAATTACTTCATTTTGGTTTTACTCTGGGGTTTATTGTTCTTATTTATCTTATGTAATTTCTTAGTTTTCATTCCATACCGTTCTGCTCTGTTCGTTACGTTCACTTATAGTTTAGCCGATGCCTTCGAGACTCTAGAAGTCTTGGGATCAGAGGAAATTGTTCAACGTTGCAGAGATTTGGAACATCCACAAATGTCAGGACTTCAGTTTTTCTGGGAAGAGGGAGTTTTCTGTATTTATGACTACTGTTTTAATGGGTTGGTTTTGAGAAGGGTGAGCACTGAATTGTGATCTTGTGGTATAACTTGATCATGGATTAGATTTGTGGGCCCATCTAAATTCAATTATCGGTAGAGCTCATTCAAAGCTGGGTTTTTTGCAGTTTGCTTTAAATAGTGTGGTTTAATTTGTTCCATAATTAGGTTGCGATCATATTAGATTGAGACAGTTATTGAATGGCTTTAAGTCAATGCAAACGCGCAGATTGATTTCTAATGTAGAATTTAATTATGAACTCGTTTTGGGGGCTATCGTAAGTTTAGGGCGCATTTCTCCTTACTAGGGTGAATTTCTCTTAGGTATAATGTAAGGATTCCAAGGTTATAACGAGAATGAGCCTGTCACTAGGATGTTGCGGTGCATAAATTTATCTAATTCATTGTTCATTTCAGATTTTCATTTTACATTTTTTGCAACATTTGCTTTTCTTTTAATTTATTTTTATTTTTCTCTCTGTTTTTATTTGTCTGCTTTTATTGGTATTTACTACTACTTTTTCAGTGTCTGGTGGTGCTTGTTATTGTATTTTAGTTCTTCCCCTATTCTCTTTTCCTCCTTCTTATTAACTTGTTGGTTGTTAAAATGATAGTTGCTTATTTGCGACCATATGATGTTTATTGCGCCTTTTTGTGGCGAGATGCTTAATGCTTGATCTAAGTAAAAATTGACATCCGTCAAAATACTAGGTTCATATTTTATATATTTAAGACCAAAAAAAACTTGAATTTCTTATTTATTTATTAAATATTTTTTAAAAAGACTAAAATCGGCTAAACTATTTTTTTAACCGCTACATTTTTTAGTATTTTTTCATTTGTTCTAAAATACCTAATTGTTGCACTTTTAGCATAAAATATGTCTTTTTAATTAATATGTATTTAATAAATAAAGAAATTTAAAATAAGGAAGCCGATTGTTTCCCAGTCTTTTTTTGGTCTTAAATATAAAAAGTTTCTATCTATGAACCTTCCCTTTCCTTATTGCATCGAACCGTTAATATTTTTTTAATTGTGTAATTCTTTTACTTTGTGTATGTGATTTACGCAAATATTACAATGGAAATAGGACTGTTAAATTAACCGCCATCTAATTTTTTTAATTCTTGACATCATTTTTCTCCAAGATGAAATAAAAATTTTTTTCAACTTCCTCCTTTCTTAAACTTTATTTCTCCTCAATTTTATTGTTATTTAACTCAAGTTTAATGGTATAATTATTATAATACAAGCCTTTCTTTTAAATTTGGCTATCATCAGAAAAGTATTCAATTATTTTTATATTGATATTTAAAGCGGATATTTTAAACAGTAAAGTAAGTTATGATAAAAGTAAATATTTCACTTGTTCGAAGGAAATGTACAATCTTACAAATTTGTTGTTCCATACGTTATATTGGCTCAGCGCAAGAGTTAAGCATTAACTTTTCCGATTTAATATTATTCAAACCAGAAGTTTTATCAGATTAAAATCGAATTGAAAAATCTTTCCTTGTTCGAATTTATTTATTTGTAGATAAAAATAGCTTTGCGTTAAATTAAAATTATTAAAATTTAATATTTTATTCAAACAAAAGATTAATCATAAAAATACTTTATTTTGGATAAGTTACAACTGAAGGACTGAAAAGTAGTTGATAATTTCGTGTAAGCTCGTTGAGTTGGAAAAGTGTTTCTTCTTTAAATTATTTTGTTTTGTTGCCTTCTTAAAAATTTTGTTTGTAATCCTTTTTTTGTTTCTTTATACAAAGCACATAATGTAGAACAATACATATTGTATTTTAACAAGCTTTTTCTTTAACTACCAAATTTTCAATTTATATTATTTATTCTATAAATTAATGAAACGGTGAAATTTCCTAAAATGAAAAAAAAACATTTTTTTTTTAATCTTTTTTGCTTCTTGTAACCACTTAGTGGGCAAATTGTCACCTTTGTTAAACTGAAAACAAAACGAGGAAATTTAAAAATTTTTTATTACATACATATTTTGATGATATTTATTAGTTTTTCGTTTTTTTAATGTCCTCTTTATAATTGTTATATATGATTAAATCCAAAATAACTAAAAAACAAACAAACAAAGCAAAATTCTATATATCTCTATATCACCCAATATGTGTTATGTTGTATATATATAGGATTCCAGATATATCCACCGCCAACAACACCTCCAGAGCCTGCCCCTCCAGATCACCATATGGCTCCATCGTCCATTATGAGACAATTCAAAGGAAATATGGTTTCGGCTTCACAATCCAGTTTAGACGAAATAACATGTAAATTTTTTTGTTTGTTTTTGATATAGAAATTCCAAAGCAAAAATAAAAACTATTAAGGATGTTTATTGATTAATTTAATATTTTTTTTTTATATTCAATAATTTGATTTTTTATTTCGCTTTGAAAATAACGTCTCTTACAATTTGTTGTCTTCTTTACAAATTATTATTTTGCGATACCGAATTATTTAAATGTGATTTTCCTTTTTAATTTAACATTTTTTTTTTTAATTTTAATTTGAATGATATATATATATATATTTATGTATTAGTGTATTTCTATTTTTATATATAAAAAGTATGATATTTACATATATGTATAAATGTAGCAGAAAAAATTATACGTTGTAATAAGCCTCAGTAACAATTCGTATAATGCATACACTTCACACCAATAATATCTACTAATTATCAATTATGTATACTCGTAATCATCTATTATTATTAGTATTACTATTTGCAAGCAAAAAAATATATTTAAGTATTATGTCTAAAGCAGACATGTCAAACTCATTTATCATCACGAGCCATTTTAGGGTTTCCGCACATTCACAATAAAAAAAACTTAAACTACTAAATTATTCTCAAATTTTGATTTTTATTATCAACATAAAAAGTAATGTTAAAAATACAAATAATACAGTAATGCAAAAAAATATAAAATTTTTTTGAAGAAAATTAGCAACGTTTTTCTGTAACTAAATCTTAGAAATTTGGTTGAATTTAATTGCCAATTGTAATTTTTGATCAATAATTTCCCCTTCCCTAAATTTTCGTTTTAATACGGGATCGCACAGCATTTCGATTTCAATTGTAATTTTGCATTAAGTTTTTCAGTATCAACAGAAATTCATTTTGATATCTATTAAAATCTAAAAATCCTTTTTCAAATTCATTTTTTAAAAATTTATTCTGATTAGAATATTCGAAAAAATTTGAATTTACTTTACTAGTCTACTATTTACAAATATAAGAAAATTAAATGGATTCAAGTATTATAAGTATTTGTTTTATAGTACAATCGCTTTCCACTTCTCGAAACAAACTAACGTGAAAATTCGATTCCGGTTGCATTTTACGTACAGTTGTTTTTTTTTCGCACATGCATAAGTTTGGTTTTTGGTTATGTGACGAACCCCCGCAGAACCTTCACTCTGGTTTCAACACAATCAATATTTGTAACAAAAATATAAGAATTAAATTTCATAATTTTTAAAAATCGTAACGGGTCGCAGGATTCACAGCTGCGTGTCGCGTATTTGACATACCTGGTTTAAAGTCTAAAAAAATTCATATAAAATACAAAACTTTCATTCATTTCACTATACGTCAGAGGTGCTTTTATTTCAAAATAATTTTCAAATTTTAAAATTTATCAGGTTTCACTATTATAAAATTCTAAAATAAAATCAAATTTATTCATTGCCAATTACATATATTGATTTTCAAAATGGTTGAAATGTTTTTAAAACAACATACCAAACTCTCATGATAACAAAATGTACTTAACATAAAAGTTGATTAATTTTTGTAGTAGCAATGGTTTACTTGTTGTATTTTTACTATTAAATTGATTATTTACTTCAACTTTTCTCAAGCAATGGTCTGAAAACAGCAATGCATTAACTCTTTACCTTTGGTTTTTATTACAATGTAAATTTTAACTGCAACATATATTTGTATTAAATCAATACAAAAATAAATATTTTGCTATTATCAATTTTTTTGCCAATATAACAACAATATTTACTTCAAACTGTTATGCAAGGAAAAAACATAAGTGTTGGTTTACAGTAACATTGAATATAAAAAACAGATCCTATCATTAATAATAATAGAATAATAAAATCTAAAATTATATTTATTAACAAATAATTTTTTTGGTTGGTTAATGGAAATAAAATAAAGATCATTGTGTAATAAGTAAACGCTTTAGAACTTTGACTTTATCTTTAAAATGGAAATATAAGCTTTTTAAAAATTATAAAATATTTTATAAGTAAAAATTTTTATAACAAATTTTTTTCCTTGCTTTCATATATCTTTTTTGATTACTAAACACGTAAAATAAAAATATACATATTTAAAAAACATATTTAGCGGATGTAAGCGGTTCAAAGGATTCACTAACAACTCACGATTCAGGTTAAAATTACTTTTTTCTATGTTTTTTTTTATTTTAATAAAACTACGACTAAACGTGATGGGTGCTCGCTATTTCTTATTCGATTTTTTTGAAATAAAAATTTTTTTTTTCAAAAAGAAGTTAATTTAAGATATCTTTTTATGTAAAATTTGGAAAACAAAACTAAATCGGTAATCAGACAACTCATCCTGTTTAATCTTAGTTCATTTTATTCAATTTTAACTGTAAATTTACATATGTATGTATGTGTTGTTTTTATGTACTGCATCAAAAAAAATTTTAAATTTATTTCTTATTATTGAAGTAAGTAGTACCTACTAAATTAAGAATAAGTGCCTTATGTAAAGCAATATTTCCTACGTTTTTGAAAAGAATCTAATGCAAGTATCAAATAAGTCCCTATCAAGGGTCAAGAAACTTAATTCCACTCAAGATCAAATTGCATCCGAAATGGATATTAAAAATATTCATTTCATGCATTTGTAAAACATAAGAAAGAAATTTATGAAATAAAAATTTCAAAATAATCATTTGATAGTTTTATAATTTTCAACAGCGGTTTTCACAGGCTGAAGCAAAATTTTGCATTGCTGCATTTTTATGTTAAAAAATTTCCTTCACTATTGGAGATTTCCTCCACAAAAAGTAATGTTAAATATTTTTTGTATATGTTTTTATCATTATAGGAAATAATAAGATTAAATAATAATAATAATAAATAATAGCATTTTATAGATCGATCGTTTATTAGTTAAAGGAAAATCCCTTTTTTGACTTTTTTTGCACTAATGGTCCAAACTATGGAACCTCTTGCATTTCAGAAATCCAAAAATTTGGAAAAAAATATAAAAAAAAGTTCTATTGAAAGAGTCAAAAAACGGCAAAAGGTAAAGTTAACTTTGTGCGTGCTATCTATGTGAATGAATTTCGGTGAAGTTCGGGTATTTAAATAATGGTCTTCTTATTCACATTGTATTTAACTTCGAATTTATACATATTCTCAAAAATATAGTTAAACAATTTTTTAAGTAACTAAAATAACACATCTAGTTACAGAGATATGGCCAAACAACTTTTGTATGCCGCGACTTTTTTAGACGAAACTAATAACCTGTAAAAAATTTTTTTTATGATATTTTATTACTATTCGAAATAATTTCCGAAATATGGTCAAACAAATTAACAAATTTAAAATTAAGTTTTCGAAAGCTTTACGGAAACTATCTTAAGAATTCTTGGATTTATAATTACTAACTAAAATAATATTGCTATTGAGTACATTACTCTCAATTCTTAAAAGTTAATAGTTTCCTAGATATATTTATGTATATTTATGTGGAAAAATTTTTTGCATACTACTTCAAAAAGCGATTTAGTCCTACCTAAAAAACTAGTAAAGCTATTGTATTGAGATTTCGCATAAATTTATATGGTATTAAAACTATTATTTTGTAAAAAAAAAATATTAAAATTGCATGACTTTTTGTGGTAGCTTCCATATAATTTCAAAAGTTATTTGGTCATATTTCAATAATCAATGGGGCTACAGATTTTCAATTTCGCAGAAAAAAATATACTATTAAGGCCATTATGTTTTAAAAATGTCATTAAAACTGCATGAATTATTGAAGTAGCAACTATACATCTTCAAAAGTTATTTTAGTTTTGAATACATAGTAATAGAATTTTATATACAAAAATACTAAATAGTTTTATTATCGTAACTATACAGGTTGGTTAGACGATGCACTTTTTATAAGCCGTGATGGTTCAAAGCATGATAATAGAGCTGGTGTTCGAAGTAATATTATATGGAATAATTTTGGAGGAGCCAATCATCACGCATTTACAACTGGTAGGCAACGTAGTGAATCAAGCTTCGTAAATAAAGTTCGACCGAAAGGTCCAAGTCAAACCCTGAAGGTAAAAATAATATTATTTTATTTATTTTTTATTGTAACTTGCATTTTAATTTCGCTTTTATTATAATTAACTCTTTTTAGCAACCAGGAAAATTGAACCTGAAAAATTTTCAATTGGTTAGTGATGCTGTTGCCCGAATGAATGTTAACAGTGATACCAATTTAGCTGAAGGTGATAATAAAACTAACAAAACAAACAAATTAAGTTTTGTAGTAGGTTTTAATAATAAAAATCGAATCTTTGATAATGCTCCCCTTGCTGCCCCGGAATTAGATGATTCAGATGAAATGGCAGAGTATGCACAGATAAAAGATGTTTATGGTGATGAAGGTAACAATGATAAACTAACGACATTTACTTCTTCTATGCCACAAGATCTGACGCCAAGTAAATCGAAAACTAAACATCGTCGGGATAAAGATCAAAGTAAATTTTTCCGTTTTTCATTTTTCGTTTTTTATTATTTTTCTTTATTATTTGGTTTGTTTAATATTTTATTATCACTAGTTTATTACCTTAGTTGCAGACTTTCAGTTAATTCGTTAATGGTCTTGTTAGTATAATTTTCTCTCTTTTTTTTATTTAACATTATATTTTTATTGTAAGTTTAATAATTAAAAAAAATTTAATAGCTTTGAAATAACAATGTTAACATAGAACAGATAAAATACATAAATTTTTTTCTAATACTATTAAAAAATATAAATAGGAAATTGTAATAAAATTTGCTACATTTTTAAATTTGAAGCACTTTTAATATGCAAGCCATCGTTCACAAAAACCTCTACCAATAATGTACAGAGAATCTTGAAATAAAAGTGAGAACCAAAATTATTAAAAGTGAAATCCAACATTATTGGCTCCTTAATAATTCCTTAGTTTCGTTCCTTAATTTTTTCTATCAAAATCCTTATTGAATCTCTATCCAATTTAAAATATTTTTTTACATAACAAATTAATGATAATGTTACATACGTTTTTGTGTTTTTCCACTTTAAATATATTTAGGAGTACATTATTTTCCTTTTTCTAACTAAATTTACAATTTAATTTATGCTCCCACCCATTATTAAAAAAATAGTTAATATACAATTTCATAAAATTATAGTAAAAATAGATATTCACACAAAATACTTAATCTTTCTTACATAATGACTAACGATTTTGCATGTTTTAATATTTGAATTAAATTGCTTAGTAATTAATTTAATAGTTCTTTTGATAAAAATTTAAAGTTACAGCAAATGAACATGACTTTCGACATTTAAAAAACATTGTATGTATATGGAAACATTAAAATTTTTTAGCTTTTAGTAAATTATCAACAAAAGTACTTTTAAAAATCAATTTTACAACCATTTTTATTGCTTTTTTACCAGTAAGTGTCCATATAAATGTATATAAATATCAATTCTACAAGCCTGAAACATCTTAAGTGATCAGTTATACATATTTCAATACGTTTCTCAAAAACTTTACCAAATAAACAATATTTAACTAAAAGAAATGATAAAAACTGAAGTAATAAAATCAATTTTTTTATTTAAATACTTTAATTTTTAAAAAAATAATATTGTAAAATAAAAACCAAAGAAATATTGTAAAATACAAAATTTTTTCACAAAATAAAAGAATGTGTCGTGTGGATAATTGACGTATTGATAAATAAGCTTAAGATAATTTGTTGTACCAAAGTATTAGTTTTTTGCTGCAATCTGTAAAATTATATAAGAGGAGATAAAAAGTTTTGAGTAAATTGGATAATTAAATATGTATAATAAAAAAATTTAATAATTAAATTTATTAAATCTTAAAATTAAACATAAAAACAATCCCTGTCTTCAAAAATTAATGTTATAAAAAATGGATAGTATTATATTGATTCACTTTTCAGTAATTACATATGAGCCTTACACTAATTTTTGTATTTTGTGTTACATAATTGTTCTTGCAATTTTGAAATCAGAAAACCTATGTAAAAGTGGTGCTTTACAAAAAATCTGGAAACATTCAAAAGAACGTTGGCAGGTTGCTTATTAATTTCATGCAAACATATATTTTTAATATTATTTATAGATGGCGTATAAATTTTACATAAACAATTAATTATTTTTTATTTATAGTTTTTTCTTATAAAAAAATATTTTAGGTCTATTTTTGGTTTTCTGTGTTTTTTTTTTTTTTTAATCATTTTTTTAAAGTAAATATTTTGTAAAATTTTTTTATAAATTTCTACTTTACTTTTTATTGCACGAATTTGATCAAGTTAATTTTTGTTTACGAAAATAAATTATTTAAATGAAATTTCACATACGTACATACATAATGTACATAATATACAGAGTTTTGAAATAAAAGGATTTCATTACAAAATTGTTGAAATTTTTTTGAATATTAAAATAATATTTTAACGTAATTGATTGATTTGTGGTGGTAGAGAGGTATGAGGCGTTTATCACATAATTTTAACGTAAATTTTTTTATAATACAATTATAATTAAAAAAGAAAAACACATAATTTATAATAAACTAACTTATATTTTCTTTCCTAAAACACAAGAAGACATATTTTTTATAATAGTAAACTTTTTCAAAGATACATTTTTACGTAGTATTCTTGTATTGCATCTTAATTACAAATAAAAATAAGATTTTCTTGGAAATATTTTCATATTAAAGCATTTTTAAGATAAAAAAATTAATGAAGTGGGATTTTTTCTTTTCAATTAAAAGAATAAGATATTGTGTTTCGGAAAAGTTTTAAAATGTTCACGAAAAATAGATTTCATATTAAATTTAGTACAGCAAATAAAGCCAAACAATTCGAAAAAAGTCGAATATATTGTATCGCCAAATCAAAGTCGTCGAATATCCTTATTACAATAAATTGAAATAAATAAGAAAAATTAATTTTCAAATATTAATTTGAGTAATTACCAAATTAATTTTATGACAAAATTTTTAATAAGCTTTGAAAAAAGAAATTGTGATATTTATATGATTTCGAATGGTATAATTTAACTATGAACTCTTTTATAAAGAACCTAAGCTCGAAAATAAATATTTTTAAGAGATTTAAATTGAGAAAAAATGAATTAGATAATTGAATCTTAAATTTAACGAATTCCTAACACATTCATAAATTTGAAAATAGTAAACTTGAAAATGTATTTTAAAAATGCTTTAATTACAAATTATTTCTATTTCATTTTCTATACACAACCGTTACAGTTCATAAATTCTATTTGACTTAAATGAGTAAACTTTATCAAAAATTATAGAGTACTCCGAATCTGATAGTGACACTAGTTCTTCCGAAAGAAAAGCTCGTGGGTATGATGGTTATTATAAAATGAATCGAAAACCTCAAACACATAAACGACCTCGTAAAAAGCGAACCGGAATACCAGTACAACCACCTAAAGTACCTTTTGGTACTTTTGTTACCCCGCCAGAAATACCATTGCATTATCAAAAAATGAAAACTTTAGAAAAAGGTAAAAACATATACACCATAAAATTGTAGTACTAAATATCGCAAATTTCTAGCTAAAACTGTGCATGGAGAGGTTCAAGAAGAGGAATCGAGTATAGATGTATCATCACCTCGTGATAACAATTCACCTATAGTAAGTAGTAATATTTTATTTTATTGGTCATTCAGTTTAAAAACATAATATTATAACATACACTCGGAAACGGATAAGTGAAAAAGATTTTGGCGAATATTTTATTTCACTTACCAGTTTTTTTCGCTTAAAAGTTTGCCGTATAAGTGAAAAAATTGTCACTGAAATTTTTTTCACTTATAAGGCAGAAAATACAAAAATAAAGATATGCAAAACATTTGAAAAAAAAGTGTTAAACATAATATCATATTTTCAATATTGAAAAAACTTTTTTTTATGAATTGTATCATATGAAAAAAGCTTTTTCCTGCTTTAAGTTTGCTATTTAGATATAAAAAACTAAGTAAAAGTATTTTCTAAGTTTTATTTACTCAATTGTTTCTGTTTCATAAATACATAATTGTACAACTTAAATATTTCAAAAACATAACAAAGGCGTTGTGAAATTTTATATTCCACACAAATTTCTTTCCTCTTTGCGTTTTCAATTTCTTTTAATATTTATTTTTTCTTTTACACTTAAATTTGTTAACATTTCGTCGCCAGACATTTTTAAAACTTTTTTAAACAGCTGTTAAAGTTAAAGTTCAAAATTTATTACACACATAAATACATAGCTCCATATTATGTCAAACAAAATTCGTTTAGTATGAAATATTATTTATGATATTTATAATTAATTTTGCAATTTTAAGTGACATTTAATATTTTAAAAAAAATAAAATAATGTAGCATAAGTATTTAACAAAAATTCCACTTAACTGCTCTAAATTATATTAAATTTTTGTTTTTTGGACAAAATATTTATTTTAGTAAACCATTTTTTTTTCATTTATACGTTTTTCACTTATGCGTTTAGTTTTATACCAAAAAAAATCAAAGAAAAAGTTTCACTTATACGACTTCTCTTAAGCGTTTTTCACTTACCCGTTTTCGACTATATTACTCGTATGTCTTTAAAGTATTACAGTTTTTCTAAATCATATCTTGATGTTGAATTTTATATTTTTGAATTGCTGTCGCTCTTAATTGATAAGATTTAGAAAATCATATTGAATTTTAAAGTTTTTACATATCATTGCTCTACACTCATCATTGCTGTACGCTGGTTATGTGCATAGTTTCTAATTCTTTTCAAAATAAATTAAAAGTAAATTTTCTTATTATTTTTAGTTTGGTGTTATGGCTAAACTTGGTAATGAAAATGATCGTGATAAATTATTAGATTTAAAAAATAAACAAAAGACATGGAAGGATGATGAAAAATTAGAAAAACGTCGCTTAAAGGAAGACCAAGCTCGACGTAAAATACAGGATAAAGACAAAGAGCAAGATAAGAAAACAAAAAGAAAATCGAAACAAAATAATAAAAATTCTGAAAATAATAGCTTAGAGTCTGCTTTATTAGCTATGCCTGAGTTTATGCATTCCGATAAAAATAATATTCCGATTTTCCTCCATAAATGTATTCAGTTTATAGAAAAGGAAGGCTTAGATTCCGAAGGAATTTACCGCGTGCCGGGTAATAGGGTTCATGTTGATTTACTTTTTCAGAAATTTGAAGAGGGTAATGTTAAAACTTCTTAATATTATATTGAAAGTTATATAACACTCAATTATTGTTTTTTTATAGATCCTAACGTAGTGGTTGATGCTTTGGATGTTCCTGTAAATGCAGTTGCAACAGCTTTAAAAGATTTTTTCTCGAAACGTTTACCACCATTATTTGATAAAGATTTGATGGCTGAGTTGGAGGATATTGCGGGTAAGAATTTAAGTAGAATTTTAAATCCTAATTTTAAATCATTAGAGTACTATAAGAAGAACGATGAATATTGTTCATAAAAATCAATATTTCTTAAGGTTCAAGGGGTGTTCCGTCTACAAAATTGAGCATGGAAGTTAAAACAGATAGAAGTTGTCGCTTAATTGCTCTTCGAGCGCTTTTAAACAAATTACCACCGCTAAATTTTACGATATTAAAATACATATTCCAACACTTTGTTAGGTAAGTTTTTAAATACAATTTTTTTTGAAATAACAAGAACTTCTTAATTTTTACTTTTAGAGTGTCTGAAAATTCAAAGTTGAATAGTATGGATAGCAAAAATTTAGCTATTTGTTGGTGGCCGACATTGATTCCGATAGAATTTACTGATATGAGTCATTTTGAACAGTTGCGCCCATATTTAGAAGATATAGTTCAAACTATGATTGATCAATTTCCGTATTTGTTTTGTGGTAAAGAGGCATTCGTTATGGTTTAAGACAAAAATAAAAAATATGATACATTTGAAAGATAAAAAACTGAAAGTTACAAGAGAATTTCTAAAAAAATTCGTAAGCTTTCTTTGTTGTTCAATTATTTCCTTGTTTTTTGTGTAATTTTAAGTTATTTTATTTTAACTTTTAAGAAAAATTTTTAAATAAATTTTTAATTAAGAAATTTTAAAAAAATGAAGAAAGTAATAATACAATCTAACATATTCAAGTCAAAGTATATTTATATGTACTAAATGTGAGTGATGTTTTTTTATATTAAACTATTTGATTAGATTAAAATACTAAAAATTATCATTCAAGAACAAATACCGAATGTATAGAATTAACGAACCCCGAAAATTTATATTAACAGAAGACCATTAGAAATATAATTTTTTTAATTTTAAAATTCAGATAATTCATTAAAAGTTAATAAATATAAAACAATTCACATAAAAATTCGATGCAAAATGATTGATTAAAATTTTGTAGATACGAAAGAAAATAAATATTTTAATTATGAACTTAATTATGCAAACTCTGCTACAAATACTAATATAGGAATTTCTAATGGTTGTGTAAGTTATAAACAATATACGGAAATTCGAAAAATAAATTTAAATTTTAATAACATTTTATAATGTAAATTCATAATCAAATTTAAAAGACGCACAAATTTATTTTACTTGTTTAATTATTATTCTTAATTAAGTTTACATAAAAGAACAGAAATTACCGATATGATTCAAGTATTTTTGATATGAAATTAAAATATGATCATAAATTAAGTAATATATATAGATAATTCAAGGTCTTAGGCAATAGAAAAAATGCTTTGAAATTTTTGTTCTAGGTGAATTATCTATATATTACTTTATTTATGACATAATTTAACATAAAGTATATATATTTCTTGTACCCTCATGTAACTCACAAAATTTTGTTATAGAGTTATAATTTATCTCTTGACTAGTTTATCTTAAATAATTTGTGCTATTGAGTATATTTAAGGAATGGTTTTTTCCACATTGCAATTTCAACATAATTTTTGTTTTTGTAAATCGAATACTATGTCAAAATATCTAACGTGATCGGTACATAACCGACTTTATATGTTTTTTAGCGAAAATGTTACAGGGAATTATGAAAATCCCTTTTAAACGCTTCTTTTCAATTTTAAGGAAGCTATTGTAGAATTGTTATTGAAGAATTTGGCTCTTATTAAATTTTCGCTTTGTGCTATCCGAATTTCTTGAAAAGTTCGCAAGTTAGTTTCAGTAACAACCAGAAACCAAATATTAAACTAAGCACTTCTATCGATTAGTTCTGTAGGTATGGTAAAGCATGAAAATTCCGCCACTAGTTCGGTTTCCGAGCTCTGATCTTTCCAAATAATTTATAGGTTCGCTGTTTTAACACCCCAAATTTAAAAATTAAATTTGAGAGAAATTGGTTGTTTATTTCTCTTTATATGCGCCCAAAAAAAAAAAAAATAAAATTGGTCGAGTTCCCGAGGTCATTAAAATTTGTTCAGACGAACCTGAGATTATTTATATTTACGCAAAACCAAAAATATGCAAAAAACATTTATTTGTTTTTTTTGCATTTGATAAACTTTTTTTTCCCTCAGTGTTTTTTATTAGCATCAGAATAAAAATAATTACTGCAATGTCTTTGAATACGAAGAAATTAAAATTTTTTAACAAATTATGCTATAACAATTATGGCATGTAAAATTTATAGCATACCATAAATTTGGTTTTGCAACTGATGACTATTACTTGAGAATACTTATCCATATCCAATGCAGTCACTGGCATTTTTCGTAACATCCAAATTTTAGAAAATGAAATTCCATTAAAGAACAAGTTCTCATTTCAATAGGTATGTTAATTGGAATACTTATCTATATGCATAATATAAATATGTATATACTTAATATATTCGTATAATAAACACCCCTAAAATTTTATTTTAATATAACAGCCCCATCATGAATTTCGTTCGTAGCTCCGAAACTCGGAGTAGTACGAATTTCACTTTCTCAATTCCGAATTACTAAAATTCTGTTACTATAGAATATTCGTAATTAAGTAATCATAAACTACGTTCGTAGCAAAAGTCATAAGTTACTTTCGTACCCTCAATAGTCTACGAAATACTCACATGTAATAAGCAATTTAAAGAGATTGGTTGTTATAAATTTTCAAGTTTTTAAGTTTTTTGTTTGAATTTGAGTTCTTCCAAAACAGCTACCATGAAGCGAAATGAATTCATATTTGCTAGAAAAAATTTTTCTTCACTTTTCAAAAAAACGAATAAACGAAAAAAACGCAAAACCCCGTTTTTAAAAAATATCTTTTGTTATCGGCAAAGCCAATGGCTAGGCGAGTCGGCTGATATTTTAAATTATGATTGGCGAATGCTTTCATTCGTCAAAATGTAGCTACCGAATAAGGTTAACACCACACATATTTGCATTGTTTTTGCTTTGAAATTTTTGTACCCTTTAGCAATTACGGGGTTGTTGCCCATTAATTTATTTAAACGCTTGAATTGTATTTGGCTTAAATTAATATTAAAAATTCAACATTTTTTACAATAATTAAATTTCATTCACTTCGCCAATCATAATAAGGACCTAAGTTCGTAATTCGTAGAATTCTGTAAGGGAATTCATGATAATAATTGTATGCCCCATGCACACCTACATATATTTGTACCTAGTATCTAGTACCTAGGTAGTTATCAATAGCGAACGGAGTTTTAAGTTTTTATCTACTTTTAGTGGTGTTTATTGGATGGACATATTAACATTTTAATATACAAATATGTTTCATAAAATTTCCTTTTATTTGGTATCGATTTGGTTTTTTAACCTATTTCTATTTTTTTTAAATATTATTTGTTTTTTCACGTATTTCGCCAATTTTTAACTATTTCGTCAATTATTTTGCATTTTCATCCTAACCTAAATCTAAAAACGTGTCTACTTCGAAATTTTACTAACCAAGATCTGCGGAAACTATTTCGTACTTAAAGAAAAATTATGTCGGATTTACAGGTTTTATTAGAATAAGCTTTATTTAAATTTTGTTATTACTTTAATAAAAAATTTAAATTTATATTTCTGTGAACTGGAACTAAAATATTTAATTTGGTGGTTTCATTTTTTCACAACTAAAAATACTTCCTTTTATGCTTAAGTCAAATTTGTAGCTTTTGCAGCTTCGTCTTTCTGTTATTTAAGTTTGCTGTTAAAAAAATAAATAACTTGAATTGATCTTATGGGATTTCGGTTAAAATTAAAATCAATATTGAATATTTCAAATACTATTTCTGGTAATACAGCATCCTTTAAAACTTTATATACAATTCTTGAAGTAATCGCATTAAAATTTGTGCTAGTGACTTCAACTATAACGTTAAAAGACCGTTTTCAATGTATAAAAATATTTTGAGATTTGACCAGCAACACTTTACGTTTAAAAATTTGCATAACCAATTCATTATAAACTACAATTTTAAATATTATCATAAAGTATAAATTAATATTTTAAAAAATTGAATGTACAATAAAAACTAAAGATTTCGATGGTTCCGAATACTACAAAAACATAGGTTTTGAGGAGAGAAAAAAAAACTTTCCATTTTGTTATAAATATCTAAGATATCGCAATAAAATAAAAGGCAAAATAAGGTCCTGCTAAAAATTGATTTTTTTTTTATTTTAATTAAACTATGTATTTAAAATTAATATTTTCATACTTACTGTATAAATTACCACAAAAAAGTGGTAATTTAAACAGTAAGTATGCATACAACCGCGAAATAAATAACATTTTTAGTGTATTTAAACTTACAATAAAAAACATTCCGCAAACTGTATGCGATATTAGTCTATATCTATTTGCAAAATTTATTGTAAAATATTACAGTATTTTAAATACTTTGCATATGATACGTTTTGGTTTTCATAAGTCTGAACTTTAGATTTTTTTATGTTATTTTTGAGTTTTATATTGTTTTAGTTTGTCTTTATTGATTTTTTTTGGCACAATTTGTTTTGTTTAACCTAATTAGACTTAGTTAAAGTTAGAAACTTTAAAAATGAACCTGGATATTAATAAACTAGGTTCATATCATGAATCTAGTTATATGCTTGAATTTGAAAAAGAAGTTTTAATTTATGATTGGAAAACTTATTAATGATATACCTTTATATATAATTTATAAAAATATATCAATGCTATGTATATTTTATGTATATATTATACAAATTATGTTATGCATAAGTAAAAAACCTTTATTATTTTTATACTATTGTAAGACATTGCTTTCACACACATTTTTCTTAAACGATATTTAGCACGGTTGTACCATATTTGACACAACACGTTTGTAATTCAACTCCATATTATCATTATAAAAAATTATTAGAGTAAAATTTTTATACAAAATTAATTTAATAATTTTTATTACTACTAAATTCGCCAATATAACAATTTTAGAAAAGTAAAGTAAAAGACCTTACCATAATGGCTTATCCAATGCAAATTTTGAGGGGATAAAAAATGAATATTCCTTCGTATGAAAAGTTTTATAGAAGTAAAATATCATCTGTAAAATCATTGCATGATCTGAAACATGAACTCATCATGGCAAAGTTGGTCCCAATTCAACTATCACGTCTTGTTCTACTAGAATAGGACTTTGACGTGGTGATATCACCTCATGTGATATTTGCATGCAATGCAACTATGAATATGTGTGAATATATCATAAAACATGTCATTGTTTAACGAATATAGTAATTTACAAACTTATGTACGAGTCATTTTTTAACAAGCTCTTTACAAATTTTTCTTTTTAAATATATTTACTTGTGCGAGATCTCAAAAACAAATTTTTTTTACAATGAATAAAACTGCCATTGACAATTTATATTATACATAAATTAAAATCATGTTTATTAAGATACTTATAGCATAAAACAATATATATAACTTATAGTTATTTATTATTTTATGATTGAAGTTGATTTTATGTTATTCTATAAAACTAAAATAATAGCTGATTAGCATGAACAATGTTAAAGTATTGTAGCCAATTTACAAAAACAAAAACTAACACGCTGTAAAATTTCTTTAAGGATGCATAAT